AATTAATGTGTAGATTGGAGCTGTCATTGTGCAATGACAAAGTAGAACTGTTACTTAGAGTCCTTCTCACCTCGTCTACTGAGGGGTATACAGGGGAATACAGGGGATATCCTGACAGGGTTGTATGAAAGTTATTGAATAAACTGTGAAAGTTCGATGACAGGCCGTTTCACCCGTGTGATTCGTAAACAAAAGCTTAATTCATTTGGGAATCCTGGTTTAAGGTTTGAGGCGTAAGTTACCCTAGTGGTATTAGAAAATGCGCCAGTTGACAGCAGCATTTTATTTTATCATGTAGTATTGTACATCTTAAAAGAATGTAATGTATGGTTACCAAATCAGAATAAAAATCTTCCTTTCATGTCGTTACTCTAATGCTGCTTCAGTATTGATGTTGTTCTTGAGTCGCATTTGAGAATTGTCTTCTCTAAAACGTATTTGATAAATGAAATAGGGAAAATTTAAGATTGGCACTTCATTTTCTGATAACTTCAGTTTATATCACTCAAACTCAACATATGAGTACAAAACAATGAATCATGAGAAGAAGCTCAGCTCAAATCACAAGGAAACATGACAAAAATACCAAGAAACTTTTGTGAAACTAGATGAATGAAAAAAATACTCAAACATTCTTTCAGTCTTTGAGTAGCAGCACTAGGCTGACCGTGCAACAAAATGATGGCACAATGGCGCACTTGGATGACTAATGAGGAATGTCTTCACAAGTTTACTTCGAAGAAAGTGGAATACACTTCCACAAAAATAATAAAAGCATACAGATAAAATTATAATAAAAATTTTGATCAGAGACCAAGATTACAAAAAGAATGGTAACTATTTTGATCTCTGAGCACCCTACATATAATAATACATGATCAATATAGACTTCAGAGTTATTGCATACTTTACCCACATCGATTAAAACCAATTTACTTTCCAATGAAATCAGAGAAACAATACTCATTGTATATTGATGAAAACCTTACTGAGTAAGAAGTGAGCAACTCTTTACATACTGTTAAAATCCCAAAAATGCCATTTCAGTTCAATATCACATACCTAGTTTAGTCGTAATGACCAAAGAAGTGCTGTTGCCCTCTCCACCACTTGTTACAGTAGTATTCTTTTGACAGGCTAACTATATAATACATTTATAGAATTCTCAATGTAGATAAAGAAATAATTACTGAGCAGTTCAAAACTGAACTTTCCATAGAAAATAGAACTATTTTATAGCTTATTAAATCAGCCAATATTCATTGCTTTGCTATGAACAGAAGCTCTCACAGTAACAGTCTTTAGAGAACTGAAAACAGTCAACCACTCCATCACAAGGTTTAGAACCAGATCAACATGTGATAATAATTCTTTATAAATTTCTGAACAACATTTTAAAAAATCCATTAGAATCAATAAAAACGATAGATAGGCTACTACAAACACAGACTAGCACATTGACAGTAACTAAAACTCAAGTACTGTATTTAAAAAAAAATAAAAATATGGATGATGTTTACTCCTTGTAAAAGGTATTCCTTTTACATTCTTAAATTAATAAACATATAATTTCCAGAGTGTCAGGTATGCAAAGGTTTGCAAAGAAAAATTAGCCATAAAATAAACATGACTAGATCAGTCAAGCCCCTAAAACCCTGCGATAAGAGATATGAAGAGATACATCCTTTTCTGAGAAGTGGAGGCATAAAGCTTGTAGAGGATTGTCTAATGGTATATATGATGTTAATAACTGACCATCATACACTTTAATTTCCTCCAAAGGGCATTCTGAATGTATTAGCATTTCACTTGAGGGATTCCTATTCTCTGATGACGAAGTCATTCTTGGGGCCGGCTGTGCTTCAAATGCTGCCTCCACTTCTGGAGGCTTTGGTTTTGCAGGCAATGATCGCCCTAACTGTGAGCACAGCTGAAATACAAAAAACAAACCTACTTGTGATTGTAACTCAAGGGAAATCATAAAATATGATTGCGATGATTCATACCTGTTTTATACCATCTAAAGCTGCTCTCCCAGCAGGAGGCATATTTGGTGGTACAGTATGTTCAAGTGTGGCATGATGACGTTCCAAATGAGTATGAACATAAAATATGAGATTATGAAGGTGGCAAACTTCTGCCCTGGTTACCATTGGATCCTATATTATAATGATGGAATGAAATTTGTGAAACAAAATATTTATGAATTAAACATGACCATGAATGTACAATGAAAACTGGGGCAAATACTTACATTTAAAGTAAAGCCCTCCACAATAGATTGAATTCCCTCAATCTTTTCTGGACGAGATGGAGGTTTCTGAGACACAGTAACTTTATTATATGTGACAGGTGCGTAGAATTGAGATGATGAAGACTGCAATTCTTTCTTTTGAGACCACAAGCTTAACTTCTTGAATCTAAAAGAAGAAAATTAAAAGTAAGCAAAACAAATGTTTTGTAGGAAAACATATTCTTCAAAGCTGAAAGTCATCGGTCTAAAATTAGTTTAAAAGCATAAAGTGTAAATAACAATTTTGCTCATACCGGCCAGAGATTGTTTTTACTGGGATAGCATTCTGTCTTTGAATGTTAAAATTTTCTACTTGTTCTTTCTTGCCTGGATTGTCCTTGCATGAAGAATATTTCTGTTTGAAGGAAAAATACACAATTTAATATCAACATACTTGACAGAGATATTTAAACCACTTAAATTTGGAAAGGATGTACCCCAGGCTTCCACATTTGAAGAGCATTCTCAACCACAACCTTGACATCTACTCCAGGTGGGTATCTCATGAGCAACATCAAACAATCAGTGTCATCTTCTTCAAGTACTAAAAGAAAATGTTCGATACGGTTATCATTTGAGACAAAAGTAAGAACATTATACAGTAGATTGCATGTGATTAATAATTACATTGTTCCCTGATAGCCGACAGCATCGATACTACTATGTAATTCACAAGACCATCCCCTTCCGAAAACACAGAATCCCATAAATACAAAAGGTCCGGAAGAGCAAACTCCTGGCCAAATAGAAGTCGTAACCAACGTCTGGAAGGTATAACAATTTTGTTAGTAAAGTAACATGAAATATGACAAATAATTAACTAACTTCAGAAAGCCAGACTTACATGCCGAAAGCTTGAAACGGTATGTCAAGGTTTTTTAAATGAAGATATAGTTCTTTATCAAATTCAGAGAGCAAATCATCCCTTATATGGACTAATCTTCTTGTCAATTCTGTCTCGGATACATTCTAGTGGAAAAAGTATAGGAATAGTAGTTTAGCTTGAATGAAAAAGTACTGAAGTATATATTCTTAGATTAGCTGCACACTTACAATTGATTCACTGTTAAATATCACAGAGGAATTGGGGAATTGACCATTTGAAAGAGGGGTCATATTACGCACCCTATAACTTCCAGCAAGGTGGGACATTACCTTGCAAAACAACCAGCTAAAACATTTGAAAAATAGTAATTAGGAAGTTTATGGTATAAATGTGAATTAAGCTAAAAGGCTACTCACTAAACATCTTCCTCTAACCAAGCTGGATCCAGGATTTCTGCTGCACGGTCACTAATAAAAGAAAAAAAAAGTCAGTTTATTCTTCTCATGCTTTGAATAAGGTTTTTATCTTATGAAGATAATCAGAGCACGCACCTTACTGAGGATAATTCACGGGCACGTAAGAGAGACTTCTGATCCTCTTGTGTTACATAGAGTAAAGGTGCTAAAACTTCATGCATTCCCTAGAATATTTAAGAGCAAAAATATGAAGGGCAATAATGTTTACTTATTTGTCAACTTTTAAACGGAAGAACGTCTTGAAAAGTATTTAGATATGTATGCAACCTACTTGACGATAACAAATTTCTGGATGCTCTCGGGCATAGCAAAATAGTATATTGACCATGGTTGACTGTATACTTTCTGACCGAAAGAAGACCACATTTGGAAAAGTGCGTATAACATCTTGTCTGATAAGACCCCGCAGCTCCTTGTCACAGAAATATTGGTGCCATATACTCTGTATCAATTAAAAGAGAAACCAAAAATAATCTTCTAGGGAAATTATGCCAGGAACAGTCCACCCATACTTCAGAGTCAAACTCACAGAGGTACTCTGAGACAGTGGATTGTCTTCAATATTGGCTTGATGAGGGTCCACTGTTAACCTTTGATGAAGAAGTCTGTACGAATTTCTCTGCTGACGTAATATTGAGATCCAGAGTGAAGGAGATGTTGGTAGAGACCCTAGAAGAAGCCGCCAATACACACTTCTTATCCTTGATCCTTGAAGACGCATGGAAACTGCATGTGTTTGGAGGCTAGAGAGCCCACTTTCAGCGAGTTGAAATACTTCGTCCCACTCATCTCTAGAGAAAACAAAGAAATTTAGTTGGGGGGAAAATTTAATGAACAAGTTCATTTAGGAAAACAGAATTAACTCATTACCCATATTTTCTATTCCCATTGCACGTAACATTTTCATTGTTTTTCTCCAATCTTTTGTTCCCATGCAACATCACTGACAAAGCATCTCCTTCTTCATCTGACATTCGAAAGACTATAGGAACTTCAAATGGCACGATTTTACTAGAATCTGTGGACGGAAACCGAGACAATCTGAAGTGCTGTTATTTTTGTGGTACTTTGAACTATGCACAGCTGAGCTGACACAGGTTATATCAACGCCCCCCTTGGAGCTGAACAAAAATGAACGACTGCTACCTATCAGAAAACAGTTTCATTTATGCATTCTGCTACTACAGCGAGAAAATCAAGCCGACTTAATAATGTCGAACGTCCTAGGGAGTTGAGCAAAACAAGACTGTTGACGTCGCAGTTTACATGTGACAGACAACAACATCACTTACGAAATGCGATTATTCGCAGGAAGTGGCGCCATCTGCGAATACTTGGCACTGGAGAGCGCGCTCCTCCGGAACAGTTTAAACCCGGACGGGTAACGTTGAAGAGTGTCAACTTGGTGTCAATGTCATCATTAACTGTTTCCTTTTTTCGCAGAGTGGTTGAATTCGGCCGTGTAAGTGGGTAAGTGGATAGTACTTCCCGAATATGCTGTCATAATTTCATCGCTGGAAAAAGTCATCTCGGACGGCAACCGGACGAGGATGACGACGACGTCGGGGGCGTCGTCATCGACTGACGTCATTGCACTCGCGTGTGTGTGACACACGGACACGACGACTCCGCGGCGAACGTTTCCCGTCGGCGATTTCATTCCCGCTATCACCACTTTCTGTGGCACTCGGGGGGGCGGGGCACCCTCTGTTGAATCGGGGGCGGATCCATAGGCGAGGATCCAGGCCGCGCGCGCGCCGCCAGCAGCAGGGAAGGCATAAATGGTGTGTGTGTGTGAGCGGGCTCGCGGGTGCAGCTTGCGTGCGATGGACAGAGCGGTCCGCACTGCACTGCACTGCACTGCACTGCACTTACTCCTCGCTCTTTTCGCCATCATCCTTCCGGCCGGCGCGCCCGCTCTTTCCACACACGGAATGCTCTATCAGAGCAGAGCGCGCTGCGCCCGGGGCCCGGGGGCCTGGCCCGGCCCGGGGCCCGCCCCCATCGGCGCCGTGGTGCCGTGCACCGCACGCGCACGCACGCCAACGCCACCCCCCGTATAAAAGGAACGGCGCGCGCCTCGGCAGGGCACACTCACTCAGCACTCACTTCTCCGAGCAGGTCGCGGTGCACCCGGGCAGCAGCAGCAGAAAGCAATATGGCCTCCTCCCGCAAGGTAAGGAAGGCAGTGTTTACCCCCCAGTAGCTTGCAGGTGGTGTGTGTGTAGGGACTTTAAAATTGGAAATTTTTCGGAAAAAATTCCAAACTTTTCCAGAAAAAAATGGAAAAAATTGAAATATTTCCAAAAAAGTTTGGAAAAAATAAACTTCTATAGGAAAAATTCAGAGATTTTTCAAAAAAAAAAATCCTTTAAACTTTCCCAAAAATACTTTTCCGGGGAAGGAAAATCCCTAGGTATGTGTGTGTCGTGCTGGCTGACGCTCCGCTCCGTGTGCACCTCTCTGCTGCAGATGAACATCCTGGTGGCGTCCTGTGTGGTGCTGGCCACCCTGGCCACCACCAACGCCCAGCTCGGCCTCGGGGGCTACGGCGGCTACGGGGGCTACTCCGGGAGCCACGGTCACGCCGACACGTACTCGTACTCTAGCCTGCACGACGAGCCCCACGGCAGCGTAAGGAGCTCTCTGATTTTTCTTGAATTCCCTTTGATTTTTTTTTCTTGAATTTTTCTGACTGCTCGCGCCCTTCTCCTTTCCCCCGCAGGACCTGTCGTACGGCAAGTACTCTTACAAGTACGGCGTCCACGACCCCCACACCGGCGACGTGAAGAGCGCCTCCGAGACCGGGCACGGCGGGGTGGTGTCCGGGGAGTACTCGCTGGTGCAGCCCGACGGCGTCACCCGCACCGTGCACTACACCGCCGACAAGCACAACGGCTTCAACGCGCACGTGTCGCTGCACGGCCACGGCCATCATTGAGTGGAAAAAACAAACAAAACAAAAAAAAATAAATTGTGACCATGAAGGAGTCGCAATGCTGACGGGGTAACGAGACCAGCACATTGCGTTTCCGAAAAGCACTGCCTGTCGATAAGACTTATTGAACCGCCTGTGATAATTCGACTCTGATGTTTTGCAGCGACATGGAGTCTGAGTGAGAGGGCATATCGAACCTCTGAAAAAAAAAACTTTGCTGAGCTTTAAATAAAAAGGGAATATTTTCATAAAACTCTGAGCAATATTTTTATTTTATTGGCCCCCTTACTGCACGAAAGTATACAAAAATGTCAATGTTAATCAGATATACTCAAATCACAAATTGTTTTAAAAAATAGTCTATATATATCACATAATTACAAATCACACTGTAAGATGTCCCACACTCTTACTACAGCTAAAATACCTACAGACTAAAAAAAATACATAAAATTAACTGAACTAATAGTCCCAGCAACATGGTGCTCTCGACAATATCACGCGATCGCTTATCATGGAAGTAATAAGAAAACTATAAATGTAATGTCATGAGCTTGGGGATCATCTAGAAAGTACGTCCGTCATTCGCCGCTACGAACATGCCAAGTAGTTCCACCTCTGCAAGGTCTCATGACGCCTGGTCGGTAGGCAACATCTTGCCTGTAGGGCATTCATGTACTGTGGTGTGGCCTACCCGGAGTCTCGCAGGCGCTTAGCTCGCATATGAATATGAGAAAAACGGACGTACTTTCTGGATGATCCCTCGCGTGTACGATAATAGTTATAACATGGCTTATTGGATTAATTTGATCAATTGGCTAATATTAATTTTGGCGCGATAACAAATAAGTGAACGGGAAAGGACATTCCTCGATCCAAAATAATTAAGTGTTTTCCGGCCTCAGACGTAGTCCAGGGAAGGATCCTCATCGATTTTGTATCCCAGTCCTTTGAGCTCTGCAACACAAGACAAAGGCGACAGGTGTGAGTCCGTGCAAGGTCTGCACAGGAGGTGGAGGAGGGTGAGGGAAGAGGGGGGCTCTATCCATACCCCCCTTCCTTCACCTCTACCTCCCTCCATCGCCACTTCTAAGCAAAGCCTACTTCTGTGGCACCGGGCGAAAGTACGTACCTCTCCGAAACACGTTCCTGGTGCGCATGGCGTCCAGCCACTCGGTGTAGGGCACCTCGTGGCGCGTGCCTCCGTAGCGGGTGGGCAGGTGCTTGGGGTGGATGTGCTCGTGCAGCGAGGACATGTCGCTGCCGTGGAAGAACACCTGCAGCACAAAATAACCATCTCGGTAAAGAAAAACTTTTGTGATGTGTGTCCTCAATCAATAAATAGTGTAGTAGTTGACTATGGCGATGGGGTGTGACACGTTTGGAGCAGTGTGCTTTTAGTCTCCCTCCCGGCCGTCTCTGGCTGGAGGGGGACACGAATAACCTGACAAAACGGTCGTCACAACAACACTTTCCTTCTCCCTCCATCCATACAATCGCATAATCCTTCACCTCCCCGTCCCTTTCTACGATGCAGTTGACAACAATATAAATTGCGTTTCGCCACTGTGCCGGGGCTTTTGTCATTGGATTGGCATAACGGATGGGGCGGGGCGGGGCGGAGCGGAGCATGACTCGCATACGCTTCACCGCAGGCTCCCGGCCACACGCCACGGGGGTGTGCTCCGGTGGCCCCGGGCGAGCGTGACGGTGCGCTGTGCGCCTCCCGGCTAAGTACACAACTTCTTCCGGGTCCTTTTTACCGCTGCGCCCATCGCAGCCGAGTGGACGAGACGCGTCGAGACGTCGCCAGCTCTACCACACATGGGGCCCCTTTCCATGGGTTCTCTCCTATGGGTCCCTCCCATGATGGTGTTCCTCCTCCTATGCGTCCCTCCTATGGGGTTTCTCCTATTGATCTCCTCTTACGGGCCCCTCCCATGATGGGGTTCCTCCTATGGGTCCCTCCTATGGGGTCTCTCCTATTGATCTCCTCTTACGG